CTGCGTCAGCACCGCGCGCCAGGGACGCTCCGGGGACTTATTTACGCGGCAGCAAACATCGGGCTGGTGTTGCCCTGTCGTCGTCTCCAGGCAGAGACGTGCTGTGTAAACAGTCCGTAACTGGAGCGACCGTAAACATGAGGCCCGAGTTAGTCCAAAGAAGGCGTGTGGCCGAGGCCCTGGAGCGGCTGCCGGGACGCCACCCAAGGGCCGGGAAGGGGGGTGGGGCCCTCGCAGGAGCCCAGGGCCGGGGCCCCGCTCGCACCCCAGAAGGGGCTGGTGAAGACCCAGGACTTGGTCAGGCCTTCTGTCTTCCTAGGCCTCGAGCGCCCCACAGCACCTCCCCAGCGGGGGCTATTCCGCTGTTTTCTCGTGGCTTCCTGACAGAAGGTGCATCCGGAAAAGGTGGAAGTCTGTCCGGGGCCCCGGGAGAGGCTCTCGGGCTGCGGCCGCCAGCCGGGACGGCGCCACAGAAAGCACGCTGCCCGCAGCCGCGCGAACGTGGCCTGCGTCCCCCCCCCCCCCGCCCCCCGGGGGTTTCCACCAGCGCCTCCAGCACTACAGACAGAACTGCCGTAAACGCAGCCTTTTGCCCTTCAAGCGGCAAGGCAAGCCCTGGAAGGTTCCAGAAAAAAGCGCAGGACAACGCTGACCCCGCCAGCCGGGAATCGATGGTGGGCTCTGGAACCACGAATCGCCCCCCGCCGGCACCCAAAACACCTTTGCCCAGCACTTCGTAGGCGGCCCCCCCCCCCCCCCCACAGCGCCGTGAGGACCGACAGCGCCAGAGCAGGGCGAGGAGGCCAGAGTCTTCACGCCGCAACTTACCTTCGTCCTACAACTTTTATAATCTTTATGTTTATCCGTACTTGACATAAAAATGGAAAATGTAGTTGTCCCCAAACCTCCAAAAACTCCTCGAAAACAACCGCCCCCAGACCAGGCCTCTGTGCCTCGGGCCTCCTGGGTGAGCCCCGGGGTTGTACAGCCGTGTGCCCTAAGGCCTGCAGCCCCCAGTTTGCTTTGGAGACCAGCACGGATGGCGGCCACTGAGCCCAGCGGAGGTGTGAGGAGGCCGTGGGGCTCTGAGGCAGAGCCAGAAAAGGACCTCAGCCGCGGCCAGGGACGCAGGGAGTGGAGCGTCCACAGCCGTCAGGACTCCGGGCTCCCTTTGCCACGTGCCTCCTGCGCACCTCTTCTGAGGAGTCCCTGGGGCACCGGGCAGGCCTGCTGTGACACAGGTGTCCTGGGGTCACTGCTCAGAGCCTGGGCTTTGGGGTCTATATCAAAAGCCAAAATGAGGCTCTGCCCAGAAGCCCAAAGGTGATAGTCCCTTTTTCTGAAACGGAATTAGCTTGATCGTGTAAGAAACAATATTACTTTGACAGGCCGTCACCTTTGTGCAGACTTCATCCAGAAACTTGACTCTGTCCTTCAGAAAATTCAGAAACCCTGCAATTTTGTTGAGGGGGAGGGGAGAGAAAAGACACTCTACTGCCATCTGCTGGGAAATCATTGTAATGAATTTACATGTCCAAGATACCCATGATGTGAGGGCACCGCCCCCTTTATACAGTCCACAGCCTGCACCGCCGTACCCAGTTCCCTAGCCATGAGAGTGGACTGTATTTTAAGCAATGGCGTTTGGGCTGCATAGAAGAAGGGCAAACACGAGTGGCGGCTCCAGCCTTCCATCAGAGAGACTATACACAGGGCATGTCGGGCACGGGGCTCTGGAGACCCTGTGGGTTGGAACAGGGCATAGAGTTTGCAAGGCTGCTTCTGAGCACAGCATTACAGTCATTCCAGGGGTGGGAGTGATTCTTAGGACTAAAGCTGACCACTCTGCTTGAGAGAAAAGAGCTTGCTTCCGGAAGCTTTGCAGGACACGGCGGCACCTTCACCTCACTGGTTACAGGTGTGGCAGGCAAACGGGAGCACACGAGAACTGTGTGTGACAGTGCACCAGATGCTCCAAACCCTTGCTAGATTGCTTGCACGCTCTATTTCAAATCCTGACGCTAGCACAGCTACGAGAAAGCAAGCCGGCTTTTGTCCTGCTTGGCGATGACCGAGAAAAGTCTGTTCAGCAGGACAAGGCACAGTGATGCACCTTCAATCTAGACCCTACCAGCTGCCCCTGCCTCTCTTCCTGCGAGTGTGGAGTCATTCAGTAAGCCAGACAAAGTGCGGAGTGCTGTGTCAGTTAACTCATGCTGCGTAACAAACCATCCCAACGTTTAATGGCTCAAAAGCAGCAAGCCTCTCTCAGGCTCACAAGAGTCTGGGTCGGGCTGAGCTTAGCAGGGGGTCCTCTGGTCAGGTGAGCTCCTGTCTGCACTTGCAGGCAGCTGGGGGCGGGCTGGCCTCCGGGGCCTCCACCAAGCGCATTGTCATCTGGACCAAACTCAGGGAGGCTGGGCGGCATCCCAGAGAGCAAGGGAAAGTGGGAGGCCCACGTGGGGACCCGCCACGGCATCACCTCCACTGCGTCCACAGTGCAGATTCCGGGGTTGGGAGCCAGCCCCCACCCCGTGATGGGAACTACATGGAGTCAGTCAGATGACGGCTGCCAAGTTCAGATGATAAGCTCAGCTCCGGGGACAAAAGGCACAAATCCTACCTCCAAGGAGTCCTCAGACTTGAGACACATGCGAAAGATAACAAGGGAGCTGTTGGAACTCTGCCTGGTTAGAGACGAGTTGCTTCTCTGGAACTGAAAGTGAGTGACCTGGGGGAAACGTTACATGGTCAGCAGGCAGAGTTCCGTGCTAAGGAACCGTATGTCCTGCTGCGTCCAGCCTCACTCTCGTGATTATGTTCTCCTTAGCACGAGGTGCTCAGGAGATGTTTGCCCAGTCAACCACATTGTTATCTTGATGGCATTTCAAGCAGGAACTTCCTGGACATTTCCAGTAAGTCTTGGGTTGCTCTTCTGACCTTCTGTAGGCGTGCTTTGAGGGCCTTGACAACGGCCTTTTTCCAGAACATCCAGGCCAAGCCCCGATTCCACATTCCTTGCAGAGGGGAGAAGCTGATAGAGATTTAAGGAGAGGAAAGCGTGTGTGGCAGGGAGGTGTCAGAGCCTGGGGTCCTGGCAGGTGTCGTCTTATGCTGAGAAGAAACTTCCAGGGCTGAAAACGCTGGGAGCTCAGTGTCTGTCCCCAAACCGGCCGTGGGGATTGACAACAGAGCCCTACACCCTCGGCAGTTGTTCTGAGTCTTCCCAGTCCTCCAGCCTGCGCCACTGACCGCTCGCCGTGTCATCCCCTGGCCGTCTGGAGAGGTGTCCCGGCGGCTCGCTTGACCATCCTCACGTCCAGCGAGGCCAGTCAGCCCCTTCTCCGGGGGAAGGAATTCCGACTCCGGGGAAGGGTGAGCGCAGAGTCTCAGCTCAAGGGAAGGACTCTGAGGACGAAGGCACAGAAAGCAGAGGAGCGGCTGTGCCCGGGAGAGCGGGGCTCGCCTGAAGGGTCCCTCGGCGCAGGCGTCGGATTCAGTCCTGGCGGCACAGTTGATGGCCGTGAGCGCTTTCACACATGGCCGCGGGAGTCACAAGCTCAGGACGGCGGAACCACGCACCTGTCGGACCGCAGACTCGCCGACCGCAGGCTGAACGTGTGTGGCCGTTGGAATTCCTCCGTTCCCGGAATTGAAACGGTTGTTCAGTTTGCAAGGTGATCTCAGGAAGCCCTGATCAGAGCAGGGACACGAGAGAGGGAAAGAGAAAGATGCCATGAAGATGTGGTAAGGCTGCTACCGCTTCGGGAAGGTTCCCCTGGGGAGACTGTGGTAGGTCGTGCACCTGAGGGCGGCCCAGCCACCACAGGGATCCAGAGCGCCCCACTCTAGCGGGCCGTGTGTAAGGGCAGAGGCGGGGGGACGTCTGGTGTCAGAAACCGTGGCCATGAGCGCTGGTGACCAGAGGACAACACATGCCCGGCGTGTCCGCGCGTGGGGGAAGGTCAGCTCTGGGCTACAGAAACCGCTACACGCCTGGCGGTGGTGTCTGCAATGCCTGTGTGACAAAACCTAGGCACTCGTCTTCCCGGACGTGGAAAGCTGTAAGACGTCAGAGGGGAGGGTCCTTCCAGAACTAAGCCAGAAGGAACTGACGTCCTGGACCTGGCGAGGCCCCGGCATTAGGGGAGGTCGCGCTGCCGGCTCTGGTGCAGGTACTGCATGTTTGATAGGTTTCAGAGAAAGATCTAGAAGAACAGCAAGATAGAATGCAGACCGACAGACGGTTTTAAAAGTCTGTTATGTGAGAGCAGTATTTATCAGTGACCCTCGATGGCTGATGTCTCCTAGGATAGTGATAGGTTTATCAGAAGCCAAATGAGCTCAGGAAGCATCAAGTCCATGAGTTTCTTGGATCCTCTACTAAGTGTTTATTAGACCCTTGACTTTCTACTGCACATTACATGTCTCAAAGGGGCTGCCTGGGGGGCTCCATCAGTTAAGCATCCGACTTCCGCTCGGGTCATGATCTCAAGGTTCATGAGTTCGAGCCCCACGTCAGGCTCTGCTGATAGCTCAGAGCCTGGAGCCTGCTTCAGATTCTGTCTCCCTCTCTCTCTGCCCCTCTCCAATGCATGCTCTGTCTCCCTGTCTCAAAAATAAATATTTTTTAAAAAATTTTTTAAGGAAGAAAGAATGCAGCATCTCCCAAACTCATTTGTCTGCAAAACCTATTTTACTTCCAAATGCCTTTGAGTAACTCAGTAACCAGTGTTCCCCGGCACACGGTTCCGGAAGCACTTCACCAAAAGCACTTTACAAGGAACGATCCTAAGATAACCTGCAGGAAGTCCGTGCATTTTGAAAAGTGGCTCCGCAATAATGTTTTTCCTAAATGCATCTATTCTGAGGGGTTTTCCAAGCCTTCCCTGCCCTGTGCTGTGGTCAGGGCATGCCTGTTCCCCGCCCCCAGGCCGCCTTGGAACTGAGGGCTGATTCTCTGGCATTCTAACCAGGCTTCTCCTCTCTCTGCCTTTTAGATGGGCTTCTTTCGCCGAAGGTACAAAGAAATTATTGAGGCTGAGAAAAACCGGAAAGAGAACGAAGACAGTTGGGACTGGGCCCAGAAAAGCCAGTGACCGGCCACAGCAGTCACGTGCCCCAGTCATTCGCCTGTCGTCCTTGATCTTTGTATCTTCCATATTTGGAAGAAAGAATCTTCTCCAGATTTTTCGGAGGCCCCAGTGATGCTGTCCTCTTCCCCATCTTGTCAAGCCCAGGAGCCACCCTGAGGCAGCGCCCTGGCCAGGTCACCTGACTCGAGCCACCACCTGTTTCTTCTGAAAGGTGAACCCCGAACTTTGGAGAGCGAGCACAGAGCTGAGCGGTATTTATGGATGCGACGTGCATGGTCAACCCTCAGGGGAAAACTGTTAGCTAAAAGTATTTTTATAAACATAAGCCTTTTATACTGATTATGTCTTTATATTTGTATCGATGTTTTATTATTTCTATTAAATAGTTCTATAATTCACTCAAACACTGATATCTAGGCTGAAACCTTGGAAATACATGTGCGTTCATACAAATTTTTAAAGGATAAATATCTGATCATACTTTGGAACTTGCTGTTAAAAGAGACTTGCCGATAAAAGATACGAGGAAACCTCGCGTGCTGAACCCCCCAGGAGGCTGCGTGCGTGTCCGGGGTGCGGTGAGACCCCTTAGGCAATGTGCATCTTTGTTGTCCGGACTCGAGTTCCAAGTAACGAGCTGAAGAACTCTGAGTGGTTTTTCATACGTACCTTGCGTTGGAAGATTTCCAACAGGAATTTGGATGGAAACGCATGACCCCAGCACGAGTCTGCTCCGCGTCACCTACACAGCAGACCTCACCCCCTCCTTCCACTCAGAGTGATGGACAGGAGCTTGGAGCAGGGCCGTCGGGTCATCTGGTAAACCTCAGCATGGTGTCTCACCTGGACACCTGGACACCTGGACACAGGGACTAAATCCGTGCTCGCCAAGCAAAGACTTGTGTCTGGACGTTGGGATGTGGCCTCTCACGGTGATCTGAGTTCAGAGTCTCCACTTCCCCTCCACCCCTGCCGTGCCAGCTAATGGCGACAGCAGGTTCCTTCCCAGAGGTGGCCATCCAGCCTGTCCTTAGTTTTTAAGATAATGTCCCCAAAGCAGACTCCAATACAAAGATTTGCGTCCAACAAACAAGGTGGTTCCGCTCCTAGGAGGCAGCAGTAAGTGTGCCAGGGAAGCAGAACAGGGAAGGGGAGGAAGCCAGGCAAGGGTGCCATTTCGGAGGCCGTCAGTGGAGGCAGCCTCAGCCTGATCCTGCAGGGTCTCTGGAGGGTACGTGATGTCTCAGAGCTGAGCTCTCATATTCTTGCGCCCAGGAGAGCTGTAAATTCCCCACTCAGTTCTTGCGGCAGAACAGCTCCGACAGCCCAGAGGCCTCTGCGGGAGAGCCGCAAACGCACCCCCGGCCCGGGGAGGCTTCCAGCGATGATGAGAAGAAGAATGCGCTGGGATCAGGCGTAGGGCCGGCATCCGCCCCGCCCCCCGCGCCTGCGAATGCTGAGTTGTGGCCTTCAGTTCCAGGCTCCCTGTTCCCAGTGTTTATCAGCAGACGTGCTGTGCTGCCCGGCTTCGAGTGCAGTGTGAGTGTCTAAAAGGGCAGTGAGATGATGTGTGTATTGTGCCCGGCACAGCACCTGGGCCACAGCGAACACTGTAACTGAGGGAAAAAACACGTGGCTGAGAACAGGGTCTGAGAAAGAGTCCTGAGCGGCTTAGTGCAGCCCACTGAAGGCCCAGGTGCATAAAAGATGGGATCCAATGGGAATGGAACAGGGAACAAGGCGAGGGTCTTTCTTGTAGGGCGTTGTTTACTGGAAGCTAATGTTGGGGGCGGGGGTCTGTGAACATTGTTGCAAAGACACGAACTCAGCTTCAGAGGAATCCATTGTTTTACGCACATCTGTGGCTAATACTTGGAAAGATACCCACCGTTTGGGCCAAATCATGAGGGTGCCGGACAGCTGTGCGCCTGGCGTGTGGCAGAAGTGTCTTTTCGTTTCTGGTGCACGCAGCTGACTCTGCTGCGGGAAGACAGCGACTGTGTCCTGTGTCCCTTCCTGGTGGCTGTGGGGTAGATGACAGAGCCAGAGGGTCCGTGGCGTGAACCAGGCTGAGCTCAGAATGAAGGCAGGGATGTTGCTTCTAGCGGAGGGACGGAGGCACGGAGGCAACTGCCGGGCAGTGCAGTCAGAGAATCCAGTTCTCCGAGTTCAGCGGCGAGGTAACCCAGGCAGTTCTGAGTGGGCCTTAGTCACTCACTGAAAGGACACTTAGGCGGCGCGTCAGGAGCTGTGCTGAGCGCTGGGCTCCCCGTGGAACCCGGCAGCCCGTTCCGCCTGCAGAACCAGACCTTCCTGCAAGAGGCGACCAGAGCGTCCCCCGTGCAGCCCTCCCTCGATGGACTCCTGCTCTTCGTGTCATGCTGTGCTTTTAATAAGCCGTTCAAGATTGTTAGGTGCCAAACACATGCCTCTATAGTCCCGGACCAGCTGCCTTGCAAGGGGTGCGGACGCACTGGTGACAGCGTAGGGGTGACTCAGCCTGTTCCTGGGGACGGTCTCAGAGCCGGGACCTGGCGGCCTCTGGCTGGTTCTGAATTTTAGACCCACATGAGTAGTCGTATGCTCAGGAGATCGCTAAGACTTCGTAAGGCAGTTTTGTTTTGTTTCCATTGTACTTGGCCTCACCAGGAGCACGCACGGCAGCCACCCCGGGAGCCTGCCTGGGAAGGCTGGTGCCTCTCCACGCCTGGCGGTGCCGAGGGGCAGGTGGGGCGACAGCGAGCATGGCCACAAAGAACCAGCCCTTTGTGAGCCCTGTCGAGGCTGGGCATTTCGCCAGCTCAGAAGCTCCCAGTGGGCTCTCGGGGGAAGCAGACAGGGCGAATGGCATCTGTGTAACTTCTCCAGAATATTCTTTTGAAAGTCCACAGTGCATTCAGTTTCGAACCTTCCTGCCTCTCTGGCTTCACTGTGGAACCCTATCAGACATTCTTACATAGCACTCGCTCAGTCTGCTTCAGCTTTCAGTCATGTATTCAGTATGGTTTTAACTGACAGAAAGATTGAGACACTTTTTAAATATGATAAAGGACCCTTGTAAAAATTGAGGAAAATAATGCCCTCTTTTCAAGAATGATTGACTCAGGCTCAGCTGACACGGGACTCATGAGTTGGGAGCAGCCGCACAGGGAGTCCTTGGCCCGTTGCCAAGAAGACGCCATGAGGTTCAGGAATAAGGAGACACCAGGAGGGAGCGGGTCCGCTGGCCCTACGGTGACTGACAGGCTCACAGCCGGAATCGCCGTCAGCCAGCTCTCGCTCCATCGGCATCACCAGGAGAATTCTGAAGTCCGGTGGCTGTTGTAGAAAAGCCGCTACCAGTCCTCTTCCGCCAGGGCGCACACAGCCTACAGTCTGTGGGCCACCGGCAAGGGAGTTAAGGACAAACAGCAAACCGGCCGGCCCCCCAAGAACACCCAGGGCTGTTCTCCGTGCACAAGTATGGTAGAGCCCCACGCAACACGTGTGCTGTGTGCCACCTGCTAAATCCCCGGCAGGGTCGCTTTTTAAAGGCTATTCTGCTACTTTTATTTTTGGAAAAGACATTACGGCCCGGGGAATGCAGTTACACACCGGCTACACGTGAAATGTGCATCTGGTGAAACCCACATGCACCTGACCCAGACTTCCGGAAATATAGAGGCACCACAAAGGGTTGTCATGTCGGGGAAATGGTCCTCTAGCAGACAAAAGGCAGACAGTGAGGGTCATTTCAGAGGTGCTCCCGTGTGCAGAGGTCTAAGCAGTGTGTTGTTCGCTGTGGGGAGCAGTGGTGTTCACAGTGGTCGTTATTTTCTGAAACAAAGAGGGGCTGAAGGGAGGATACAGAGCCACGAGGGCCAAGGTGAACCTTCTAGAATGTCTTCTGATTTTCAGCACATTGGGGGAATAATGAACAAAGTTCCCACATGGTGCAATGCTTTATAGCACAATGTTCTAGATTTCAGACTTTGTTAAGTTTTTTTTTTTTTCTAATATGCACGGTGTGACGGGCAGAGTGAGTTTAAAAGCTTTAAGAGTGATTAATTGCATGGCAGACACCCACGCTAACTTCACTTCCAGAACTTGACTGATGCATCCATGTACATTTCCATTGAGGAATTTTAGTGGGAGGGATGTTCCTCCTCACAGAGTCATTAAAAGTGTATTCAAGTCTATGCAGTCACTTCTAATTCACTTGCACTGTTAGGGAAATGCAGGTTTACAAAAGTACATGTTTGGAATAAAAATTGGCTGCAAATGATTCAGGAGTTTGGTCTGTAATTGCTTTGCTAATGAAGAATGTGAACCTCTGGGGTGTTGAATGGGGTTTGGACAATACATCGGGAGCGTTAAAGAGCGTGTCCAGGCCTGTCTAATCGTTCGTGAGCAATGTCTCCACGTGGCCCGAGTGTCCGCAGTCCTTGGCCTCCATTCCGTAGTCACCACCTTCCCTGTGCTTCGCCTACCTGCCCAGGACCACACCTGGGACCTTGATCCTAAGACGAACGTGCCCTGGGGCACCTGGGGCTCAGTCGGTTAAGCGTCTGACTTCAGCTCAGGTCATGATCTCACGGTTCCTGGGTTCAAGCCCCACGTCAAGCTCTGTGCTGACAGCTCAGTGCCCACAGCCTGTTTCACATTCTGTGTCTTACTCTGTCTGTGACCCTCCCCTGCTCACACTGTCTCTCTCTCTCAGAAATAAGTAAAAACATTTTAAAAATTAAAAAAAAAAAAGAGACAAATGTGCCCAAATTAAATGGAGAGGATGCCTCATTGTTAGTAGACTGCTTCCACTTGTCACCAAGCACTTTCCGGAAGCTTTTTGACTGCATCCTTACACGTTTACAAACATTGTGTTCTCTTACATTTGTAATTTCCATCTGTCTAGTTACGTCACTTTTCTTACCTCAAATGTTGTTCTCTTGTGTTTCTCCTGCTTCCCTAGATGAGGCCAACAAAGGTCTATTTTGCCAGTGCTTTCAAGAATAAGCCTTTGGCTATACCCATCAAACATACTGGGTTTGTTTTCTATCTCATTAATTACTGCCTTTATACTTGTGAAAATGTATTTTATTGCCCTGTAGAGAAAATTCATGCACAGACCCACGGCGCTGTGTAGAGAAGGGAGCTGTGAAAAGATACACACCAAGGGGTTAAAAATGGTTGTCCCTAGGTAGATAGGGTTGTCGATGTTTTCGCTTTGTTTTTTGTTTTGTTTTTACTTGCCTGACGTTTAGTTTGGTTCCAGGCATTTTCTAGCAGGTATTTCTTTTGTAACAAGGAAGCATATGCAAATTACTTTTTAAAGAAAATTACATCTGGGAGAATATGAATTGCTAAGCTAAAAGAGATCTCAAATTGCAAGCCCAGGAAGAAAGAGCTTTGTCTGCAGCAAAGAGCATTGATGAGTCTGACTCTGAGGACAGTGGTCCAGCGAGTCACTTCAAGCTTTTAAATTCCAGATACTTCCTGGCTTACCAAGACCCTCCACCATCACCAAGACTAATTAAATACGTTTCTCTAAGGTGGCCCAACCCATTTCCTTAAGCCAGGAAAAAGTCTGGACAAACTCAAAGGAATCAAAAGATACAAGACGAAGAGGAAGAAAATCACCAGTTAGTAAAGTCAGGCCCCTTTCAATCAGGAGGCTTTCAGTCCACCAGATTACATCTGGTCCTTAGAGACTGTCTATTCGTCAGGTTGCCGTGCTTAGTGACCAAGTTCATGTAAGTACTGTCTTAGAGCTCTGCCTAATCAAACCAGTTGGCAGGCATCCATCAGCCGAGGGGCCTGACTCTGAGATCACGTCCATTCATTCTACGTACACGTCCGCCTGAAGCGTGTGTTAACAAGGTGTCTCCGTCTCTGCTGAAACCTGAAGCTGTGTCATGTGGACTTGCTGCCAAACCCCTGCTTTGCCCCAAAGTCGAAGCCAGGTCATTTTATACTTTATTGAATATGATTCTTCTATAATTGAAAAAGATCCCCCAACTTAAAACAAATCGCAACCAAGGTATAACTACTACCCTTTGAAGATGCCAAACAGATGAAAAAGCAGAGGGCAGGAATTTTGGTTTTGTTTTAAAAAATTTTTAATGTTTCATTTATTCTTAAGAGAGAGACAGAGACAGAGCATGAGTGGGGGAGGGGCAGAGAGAGAGGGAGACACAGAATCTGAAGCAGCTCCAGGTTCTGAGCTGTCAGCACAGAGCCAGACCTGGGGATTGAACTCACCAACCGCGAGACCATGACCTGAGCCGAAGCCGGACGCTTAACCGACGGAGCCCCCCAGGCGCCCCTCATTTCCCTGATTTCTTTATTTTGTAACTAGAAGTTTGTGCCTCTTAATCCCTTTTATCTGTTTCAGCACCCCTCCCCCACTCCCCCTTGGCAACCACCAGTTTGTTCTCTGTATTTGAGTCTATTGTTTGTCCATTTGTTTTGTTTTTAGATTCTACAGGTAGGTGAAATCACATAGTATGTGTCTTTCTATGTCTGATTTATATCACCACCATAACACCCTCTAGGTCCATCCATGTTGTTGCAAGTGGCAGAACCCCATTCTTTTTTTTCGGCTGAGTGATCTTCCATCATATCTATATCTGTATCTATATCTATATCTACATCACATCTTCTTTATAATTCATCATAGATGAACACTTGGATTGCTTCCCTATATTTGCTATTGTAAATAACACTGCAACGAATATAGGATGCATGTATCTTTTCCAGTTAGTATGTTCTGGGTAAATACCCAGTAGTGGAATTGCTGGTTCATAGGGGAGTCTTATTTTTAATTTTGTGAGGAACCTCCATACTGGTTTCCACAGTGGTTGTACAATTGACACTCCCACCAGCCGTGTGTGAGGGTTCATACTCCGTGAGGAAGAGCTCAGATCCCTCTGTTCCCTCCTTAGTCCCTGCAAGGGTAGCTCCTGAGCCTTGACAACAGGAAAACCACACCATATGTGGCAAACTCCAACTGTAGTGAATAGTATAGTTTTCTTGAGGGTTCCTCTATTTTCAGGACAAGAGAGAGCTCTAAGACGCTATCCATTTATCATTAATATTTGTAATATCAAATATCTAAGATGCCCTCACACCACATCCAAAACTGTTGACAGATGACATGTGAAATGTGCAGTGTAGGGTGTGTTTGAGAAGAGGAGCTATTGATTTAAGCAGATCGTGGGCCCACACCCAGCAGGAGAGAGAGAAGAGGAGCAGACCATACCCACCAGGGCCCTGCGAGACAGGCGATTTGCGGCGAGAGCCCTGGTTATTGGTGACATGATACCCCCCCCCCCTCACTGCCACCATCACACCATGGACCTTGCCTAGGAAAGAAAATGAGCTCACCTAGGCCCCCAGGACAGATGGACACAAGGAAGAGTGCAGCTGCCTATAGTCACGATCATACCCAGAGAGGGGATTCTTGAACATCTGGTTGAACGACTCTGGCTGAAGTACAGATGCTTGGGTATGGTGTCATTATGGCTTTGTCTACGCACTCATTGACAGCGAGGTCTGGCGCATATCAGTGACTTCTAGAATTTGAATCTTTGAACTGTTACCTATTCTGGACACCACTCGTTACGGAGATGTTTTTTTCAGCATCCCTGAAACTGCATTCTTCCAGCTTCTGTTAAACATTCCATTTGATGGAGCATTTGCGTGATGTCGCCACCCCACCAGTCAGCACTGCCTGAACCCAGGGAGCTCCCTCTTCTTCCCCAGCCCTCCCAGCCGGCTATCCCAAGCCTCCCCCCCCCCTTTTTTTTTTTTTGCTTTAAAAAGAATTGTGATGAAATACATGTAATATATATTTTACCGTCTTAACCATTTCTAATGGTACAGTCAGTGGCATTAAGTACATTCATGGTATTGTACAGCCACCACCATCCATCCATCCCCATAACTCTCTTCATTTTGTTAAACGGAAACTCTGCACCTGGTAAGCAAGTCCCATGCTCCCCTCCCCCCACCCCTGCCAACCACTGTTCTATTTCCTTGTCTCTATGATTTTGACTATTCTAAGTACCTCAGGTAAGTAGAATCATACAGCGTTGTCTTTCGGTGACTGGCTTCTCTCACTTAGCGCAATGTCCTCAAGGTCCATCCATGCTGTAGCGTATTGCACGATTTTCTTTCTTTTTAAGGCTGAATAATATTCCACTGTATATACACCCACGTCTGGCTCATCCACTCACTGGCCAGCAGAACACACAGGTTGCTTCTACCCTTCGGCTACTGGGAATAATGTTGCTGTGAGCACGGTGCCGCCCTCGGTTCTCGCGGGCGTATACTCGGAATTGGAACTTCAGGATGATGTGGTTAATTCTATTTTTAATTATTTGAGGAACCGCCGTACTGTTTTCCATCGCGGCTGCACCATTTACACTCCCAAACGCGCACAGGGTTTCCAATTTGTCCACATCCTCACCAACACTTGTTTTCTGGGTTTTGTTTTGTTTTCTTTTGTTTGGAGTAGCTATCCTAATGGGTATGTGGCAGTATCTCATTGTAGGTTTGACTTACGTTTCCCTAACAATTTGTAATGTGGAACGTCCTTTCCTGTGCCGTTGGGCCATTTGCGTATCTTCTGTGGGAAAATGCCCACGCAAGCCCTTTGCCCATTTTTGAATTGGGTTGTTCGTTGTTGTTGTTGCTGAGTTTTGGAAGTTCTCTATTTATTCTGGATATAAACCGCTTATCAGATATATGATTTGCAAGTATTTTCTCCCGTCCTGAGGGTTTCCGTTTTACTCAGTGGACAGTGTCTTTTGAAGTACAAAATGTCCAAGTAAAAAACTGTCTATTTTTACTTTGTCCAAGTAAATACACGTAAAAAACTGTCTATTTTTTTCTTTTGTTGTCTGTCCCTTTAGTGTCGTGTTCAAGAAATCATTGCCACGTCCAATGTTGAGAAGCTTTTGTCCTATGTTTTCTTCTAAGTTTTTTTTAAATGTTTATTTTTGAGAGCGAGAGAGAGACAGAGTGCAAGGGGGGGAGGGGCAGAGAGAGAAGGAGACAGAATGTGAAGCAGCTCCAGGTCCTCAGCACAGAGCCTGAGCTGTCGGCACAGAGGCCTGCGCGGGGCTTAACCTCAAGAACCATGAGATCGTGACCTGAGCAGAAGTCGGACGCTTAACCGACTGAGCCCCCCGGGCGCCCCTCTTCTAAGAGGCTTATTGCTTTAGGTCCTTCCTCCATTCTGAGTTACTGTGGGTATGTGGTGTGAGGTGTGGATATCCAGCATCT